ATCATTTCGTTGTTTTTGTTATTTTAAATAGTATGCTGCTATGGCGGCATAGCCAGTACTGCCATAGCAACTTTTTTCTGTCAAACAAATTGGTTGTAACAAACTTAAAATTACGATTCGAAAACTTTAATAGCTCCTTATAAAATTAACTTATTGCATTTCGAGCTTTAAAAGAAAATTTTTGCCGCACAAAACAAATACCTATAAATTTTCTAGTTCTGAATATTCCAATGTTGATACTTTTCATTAAACTGTTGGATTAAATGAACACATATTCCTTGCTAAATAAGATTAAATTATTTCTCAAATCATAAGTACCACGCTTCTCTCCTTCTTTTTCCCAATCATTTATTTTTATAATTTTTATTTCAATAAATCAAAAATGCAAAAAGAAACGGTTTTTAGCAAATTATTAAGATACTTTTGATTGTAATTGGTAATGTACAATTGTTTGAAAAAATTGATTCATACCAATTAGTAACTAAATTTAGAAATGATCAGTGTAGTACAACTTACGCCCACGTAGAAAATACATAGAAAATGTTTGTGCATAAAGGGAGGAGGATAAGATAAGATACAAAGAACCATTTTCCAAACAGTCACTCAGTTGGCAAGAGATTCCGAATTCAAGTGGTACTCCAAATGATTATTCAATATTGATTGAGAAGTAACGAAATAAAGAATGAAATCTTTTGAGTACAGCAAATTAGCATAATTCTGAGATGGATAAAATGTGCTCACTGATTTTCGATCAAAGCAAATTTTCTTATCATATCTGAAATTCTTTTCATTTATCATATGTTTTTGCCTTGGTTAAAGTTATCGCATGAAGTAAGGGTATTTTTAAAACAATTGAAATAAAATAAGGTTAAATGCGATCACAAAAAAAGTTCATTATACTTGTACTATCAAACTACTGTTTCTTTCTAGTGATGATGGCGTTAATTTTAGATCTTTTAGCTTAATTAGGTTAATACACTCTTCTAATTCTTTGTTTGCCAACAGAGATTAGCCTTTTCAACCTTTCTTACTCATAAAGTATTTCTGTAGTGGATGAAAATTACTACATAACAAGAAAATGTATTTTTTTCATGTTATACGTGTTTTTTGTAATATCCATTTAAGCTATCAAGAATCATTAAAAGAACTCTTTTTGCTGCAAAACACGTTCATTATATGACCAGTAATTTTCAAGTCTCAAGATTTTCTTTCAATTTTGGCCAGAAATAATATATTGGTATTGAGAAATGAAAATTGAACATGTACCTTTCAATTTATATTCAATACCATGTGGAACAAATATGTTCATTTTATCTAAATTTATCCCTCATGTACGTACAATTATTGAAGCAATCAACGAGGTTTAATGCACAAAAATGTTAAGCAAGAAATTGATTAAATTAATTGATTAAAAATGAGATCGTTTTAAAAAAGTCGCATAGCAATAACAAATAAAAAACACCGAAGAATAAAAAGTTTTTTTTTTTTCTATTTTTAAACATCAAAATCTTATTATCATTTTATATTTCAATGTCAATAAATATATGATTTAAATGCGATGTGATACAGTATTGCATAATAACGATGAATTAAAACAAAAGAAGATACAATGTTATTATAAAAAAACCAGAATTATTCATTTTTTAGAAGGTTGATTTGATATCCTGCGAAATCTGCTAGTTTCATTTGTTTGAAATTGTTGTTCTTCTCATAAAGAAATCAGAAATAACCGATCCAGGATTTAAGAACGTGCATTTTGGATATTTTAGATAGTTTGACAGTATGCGTAATATATCACTCTTCACTCTTAAACATTTACAATGAAATTTGTCCTGAATTCGGAATTTTGTTTTGGTCGAGAATCATTTCGTCTGCTAACACTTAAACGAACATTTCCAAATCGATCCTTCCGTTCTGCTGAATGATGGGATTCAGCAACGATTGAGATATCATCCACAGACATAACAATATGGATCATTCTTATTATTATGGGAATAAGTATAAACAGAGAATTCAAAAATACTTTTAACGTTCCAGTAAAAATCTGAAAGTGATTGCTGGAAAGTGTTCCTTTTAAACAGGCAATGAAGACCGCCCATTGGACAGAGGACTGTCGTTAGCTATACCGCCAAAGAGAAATGGAAATGTCAACATTTTATTACTTGGATCATTGCCAGATAGTGTTAATGTTTCTCTGATAAATGGTGCTGATAATGAGAATTTAGATCACTAAGTTAATTGTAAGATGACAGTAAGATTACACTTTCTTTCTTTTGCTACTTTCTGCTTAATCTTTACAATATCTCTCAATCAAAAGATCTGGTGAACTATAAGTCGGTGTTGCTATGAAAACAAAAATTACCAATTAACAAAGCTATCCTACATCGTGCACATGAACAGATCAAATAAAATTGTTTTATAGCTTAATTCCCTTGTCGTAAAGTATTCGAATTGCAATAGCTATGCTTATTATGTTCTCAAATCATTCCTAAAATTGTACATTACATGATGGATGGAGGATAAATGATCTATAAATTTGTAGCTACGGTTAACCAATTAATTTGGTGAATCGTTGTACTATAAGCTTAAATAATTAAGGTAATAACGGGAACTATTACTCTTGCAGAATTCACCTTACCAGCGATAAAATAACATCGCACTGCTTCATACATTTTCCTTTCATATCATCTTTTGCTATTTAAAAATACAAATTGGCACGTAGCTTCATTAGCATAAATTTTTTTTTGAAATGATATTCGAAAACTGATGTGATATGACCTTTCCATGAGACGCCAGTGGAGTAAAAAAAAACTACCTCATCGTAACGATTGGTAAATTTCAAATTGCTATATTTCACTTGAGAGCAACATCTGCTGAGTTTTTTATTCGACTGAGAAAGAAAATTATATTTAACGACAACATTTCAGGAAGATAATTTAAATATGTTCTTGTGTGTTTCAAAAAGAAATGCTTATTACTGACTGATTGACTAATTAATATAATTAATGGCATAAAAATTTTGATATTTTGTCGCATGTAGTCATTGAGAAAAGATAAATAGTTCTGAATTTTTTTTTGTTTTGCTTTTTTTGTGATTAGGAAAGAAAAGCGGAGTAAGGCTTCTTTCGAGCTAAGCTTTTTCACTGAAAGTCTATTTGTAAACATGCTAAAATGTCTTGGACTGCAAGGAAATGTGAAAAAATTTGTGTACTTATTTCAATTGACCGATTGTATGCTTTCTTCCATTGATAAAATGGCAAAATTTCGCTTGTAACGGAATCAAATTTAATCCAAAAGCTTTTCATTGGATTTTTGGCGTTCTGACAGATTCCAACAGCAGTAAATTTTTTATGTCGTATAATTTTGCTTGTCACGACATCACGCAATGATCAATATTTTATAAACATCTAACTTATTTATAAATATACTTAAATAAACGTAGAAAAAAGATCTTATAAATTTAAATGACAATAAAAGATACTCGAAGCGATTGGAACCAACTGTGAGATGCTATTTTTAGACATTTGAGCGAGTTGTTATTTAAATTGCCTTTTGTTACTTTAGCCTTTTTATCTTATATGAAAAGAATCGTAGCAGAAATTTTATTCCCTCTTCGTTATTTTGATTTTCATTTCCGAAAGACTGAATTAGCATCTGATCCTCATTTCTACTCCGATAGTCATTGTATAATTTTCAACAATTAATTTTATAGTTATACTGAAGAAAATATTCCTTCTCAATATCATTACTGAAAAAAAAGTGCATTCATTAATTTTAGTTTTCAAATTTTCACTTTTTATTTTAGTGATTGAAAGATAAAAATAAGCAAAGCATCACTGAATCATATGGAATTACGAAGTTATTCATTATTCATTATCACGATTCATCAAAATTCGATAAATTGTTACAAAAATTCTCTCTTTAACATTGCCTATTATATAATATTGGTTCGAAAAAGAGGAAAAAAAAACTAAAGAAAATCAGTCCCTTTCTAGTTTAGCCTTTTTACTATTTTTTTTAATTATGTCACTTTTTCTTTTAATTTCACTGCTTTACTACTTTTCTGGATTTCACCGATGTGCCATCGACCAGTCCCATGGGCAGCTGCAGACAATCTAATTTCTTTCTATTTTCCTATAAAATTATCCACATGTGGAAAACGGTAAACAGTGTTATTAAACAGTCCATTATTAACAACTATACTGAGTTCTCCTCATTATTTTGATTAGTAATTATATTTCAGGCGATAGTATTTCATGTCAGATATTGATTTTCTCGAGTGCGTCTTTTTTATTTTATATCTGAATTGTTCTCTTACTTTTTCTCATCTTGTTAAGAAAATATTAGAAAATAGAAAGATAGAAAAATTTTCGTTATAGGATCACACTGCATTAATTTTTACACATATTTCATTTTCTTTCTCAAATGTTTCGATGAAATCATCAAAGCAATAATTAACAAAATCCAAGTATTTCATGGAAATCAGAGAGTAATATATGAATTTCTGGAAATTTCTAGTCTAAGAGAGAGAGAGAGAGAAAGAGAAAATAGAAATGTGAAATATGGTAGCCAAGACAGTTATCATAAAGTATGAAAGTAAAAAAGCTAACGGTTAATTCATTTATCTGGAAATGTTCACAATTGACAGTTTTAAATTCAAATAGAAACTACATGGTTCAAATAGAAATGATCAAATCACTTTGAATGCTTGTTTCATCTAGCAAGCTATCGATGGTCTGTCTCGTGCAATGTTTCGTAATGGTTCAATGATTGGTGTCCGTATCTGCAATATCTTTTTAATTAATGGCCATTCAAGTTACTTTTCGAAATTTTATCAACTTAAACAGCTGATGATATGTGCAACGTAACTAAGCAACATTTTATTATTATTGATTAAAATATGGCACTAATTTGGAAGCTATTTAAGATTGTACTACTGCTGCTACTACCCCTCATGTTTTTGACCAATTTGCAAAATGTCAAATACATGGGATTTCTTTAATTGGTAATTAAATTGGTTGAATAAAGTAAATGAAATGGCGAAATTATTTTAGCTTTGTTGATTGATATTTCTTTTTATAAATGTATACGTATGGGATGAAATAAAAACACACACACGTACACATATGTATATGCATAAACTTAACAATATAAACTGTCATATACAGGCAAAGGAAAGAATTTTACTGAGAAGTTCCTATCGAAGTATCAAAATGAGTGAGATAAATAGAATCAATTACAGATTAATTCATCTTTTAGATATCTTTCATTAAATCCGCCCTTTTATTGCTTAATTATTTTCTATGATTTCAAATTAATACATCGCTGCCAATTGAGAATAAAGTTCAATGTCCTAAGTTGTTGATTCAATAATCCAGTGAACTTATTAGAATATATTAAAACTTTGTCTCACAATACAGCAGATTTTAATAAGGCATGAAAAGCGAAATTAAACGCTGATGCCATTAGACTGTTTCGAAATCTGCAATTTATTAGAGATTCGATAAGCAATTCACCCGTTAAACTTGCTAAAAAGCCTTCTCAGAGAAATTTTGTATTCTCAAAATATTTTAAGAGCTGAATTTTACTTTGGAAAAAATATTTATATATCTGTTCGTTAACTAAGAAAATTTGAAATCTTTTTCATTTAAGGAATTTTTATACACTAAAAAGAAGAAAGATTGTTTCCAAAACAGTTGCCAAAAAAGAAATCCTCAAAGTTTATTGATAAAAATTCTTTTTAGCTATCAAATAAGACTCAGATTTTCTTAAATCTATGTTCCAAATAATCGAAATTTAAAATGGATTTCCAAATTCTATATTTTGTATTTAAAGGGTACTTCTAGATAGACAAGACTATAAAAAAAGTTTGCCTATTGAAATAAAATGCAAAAATTCTGTATTCTATATCAGATTAAATTATTATTTAAAGTTTTTTAAATCTTTATTATAGCTATGAGAAATAAAATAACTGAAATACTATAATAATAAAAATTTATAAAATGTCAAATAAATCCTAAGTAGCAAATACATATGATTGCGTACTATAGAATTAATGAAATTTAAAGAATTAAAAGAATCCAAACATAATGGATTCTATAAAAATAAAAGATTCACCTCTTTGGGTCTTCGATTTCTGGGATCAAAGGTTGTCACGCTGATTTTATCGGCCCACCGAATATGGCGTTGCTGTGGATCAATAGGTTCAGGTATCTTTTCATTATCTTCAGGCTGCAGTCGGATTACAGTTTCAACAGTATTTGAAAACAAAATCGTATCGCGATCAAATAACGGATCGTCCTTAAACTTTCATTGTAATTAGTTTTGTCTCTTTATTTGTCTGTTCATGACATGGCTTTGGTTCTGTTTGATAATTTTCAATTTAAAATTTTTTAAAATTACTTCGATGTTTTTTTGAAATTCGTCTGCGGTTTATTTAATTTCCTTCCTGTATTAAACTGCAGCTTTATATTTGCAAAGTAATTTAGTTATACTGATAAATTATAGCTTAATATTTGCATTTTAACAGCAAATTCTATTAAACATTCAGTGATGTTAATTCATAAACTAATTAACTAATTAAACAGCAACCGCTTTCATTTTAGATACTGGACCAAACGGATTAAATTCAATTTTTTCAAAAGGTCGTGAATCAAGTGTTTTTTTTCCGGTGCAAACTTTTTCCAAAATGTCCATATCAACTGGCAAATCATCATCTGTTACTGTTTCTTCTTCCCTAAAAGTTCGTAAGTTTAACAATTATACTTTCTATTAATTTATTACTAATTTAATTCCTTCTGAAGTTTTTAACACATTTTTAGTAGATTTCAAATAATCGAAATACAAATATCTCCCAATTTCATTCACTCTCACTTCGCTTTTGGAAAAAACCTTCAGGCTCACTGAGGAGTCTCAATAGTCCAGAATGGTACACCGTTTATTAAAGGATTATCGGCATTTGCTCCATAGATGACCACTTTAACTTGACTATTGTCACCTTCAAATTCAGAGCCAGTCATTATTGATCTTTTCTGCGATATCGTTTTTTCTATAGTAGATGTTTGAGATGTCTGTTTTGAATCCTACAAGTATGATTTAATATTAAAATGTAAAACAGACAGAACGAATAAATTAAGTTCTATTATCTCTTTTGTAAAACAATAAACAGATGGAGTCATACTGTTATTACAATGGAAAGAAAGCGTGTTGAACTTGGCCACCAATTAAGAAGACAACAAAAAATAAGACAGTACATTTGAAGTAAGTGATTTATTGGCCAAGGCACTTTCAATATCCTGCCTATCGGATTCCTTGGTAGGTTGTCTGATGAAATCTGGGATAGCTGAATGATCTGTCATATCAACTGACGCTGCTATTGCCATCGGTGAAGGCCTATGACAAATGCGAGAGAATTACAAAAAGAAAATTTAAATATCTAAAAGTAATGTTGCATACTTAGAGCATTCTACCTGATTCCAATATCAATAAAAAATTTTGGATTATTGCGCATCTTTCACAACAAATTTCACATTATGTTTCACAAAATATTGCAAATTATGTTTCAAAAAATATTGCAAAATAGAATTTCGAGAATTTTTAATTTTTAATAAGTCAAAGGATTGAAATGAAAAAGTTACAAATGCTACAATTTTATTTGCTTGTATTATAATTTTGTTATGGCGTTATATTATAATTTTATTATTTACATTTGTTTATTTATTATAATTTAGCTTATCTAAACAAGTAGTTGTAAGAAATAACTAACTTTGCCTCGATGACATTTCGACGCCTACCTAGCCAAATTGCATAACAAGGTCTCGGTCGAATGGATAGGTAGTACGCTTTTCGTTCACCAAAACCCATTGAACCTTTGCGACGTTTTGGAAAAACCTACAACTGATACTCGAAAATTTTCATTCGCACGCACATACCTGTTATTTTTTGAATTGCTGGAAGTTTTTAAGAATATATCAATCATGTCACATACATCTTTTTCATTTTGTAATTAATATAAAATCACAAAAAATTATTCATGAAAGAGTAAGCAAAACTTCATAAGTCAACAAGAAATTTCAAAAGTCTGAGGCAAATTTCAAAAGTTATTTTAAAAATAAATTCAACTTAATAAAACCTTTAATTATCCCAAACTAACGCTTGAAACAAGCAAACTTATTAAATTAGAATTTTTAAAAGATTTAAAAGCCTGCCTCATCAGCAATTCGAAGTGTTCCCACTTTTGGTTTAAATTTTGCTAAAATTTCAGCTTTCCTATATTCCACGTAACATGCTTCTTCTTCACGAGCTTTTTGTCGTGCTTTTTTGCGATCCTTATAAGCCTTCAGAGCTTTACTTGCTTGTTCCATAGTAAATGTTTGTTGCGCATCGGTCTACATAAAGTTATCGTAATCATCGAAGAAGTCAAAATAATAAAATGAATAACATTCTTCTTTCCTTTTCCTTGCAATGGAAAAGTTGAGGATATTTTTGTTCAAAAACACTGCTGTGACAGTTCCACATTTGATGAAATGAATAATATTCAAATTGAAAGCTATATAAACGATGATGACCATTAATGTCCAATCTTACCAGTTCAAATCGGAATTTAAGCGAAGTGGGACGTCTTTTCCTTTTAATTTTTTGAGTTGAAATTTTTTAAAAAAATTGAATTTTTGGGTTTTTGAACAAATTGGTGTATAGACTATGAGATGCATTTCAAAATAAGGTAACGCATACATATTTTGATGCCATGAAAACTATAACATGTTACATGCATGCTATGGTACTATTAAGAAGGAACAGAAATGGTACCATGTGGTACGTAGATAGAAATTTGATGTGTATCGCTAAAATCTCAAACATACACATCGAAGATATTAATAGGATACCAATTTACAGTTTTGCATAATAGCGTAACTATTTGGTAGTTCATAAATATCGGGTGGTTCTAATAATACTCTGAAGTAATCTACCCTTTGGCTAACGGATAATTTAACATTTTTTTCTTTTGAGGTGGAATTTCAATGATATCAAAGCTTATGAAGCATGTTAATAAGAACGGAAAGTGAGTTTAACTGTTACTGATAACAATTTATAAAACCTAGACGTATTCGCCTGCTTCTCATATCTTCTTTCTAACTGCTAAACTCTGAGGAATAACGTTCAAGAACAATTTCGGGAAGCTCAATTAGTATAATCTAATGCTAAGAAATAAATTATTGGTTAGATTTCCACTCAATTAATCAAACTTACCTTTAAAAATTTATTTTAAATTATTTCTGTTGTTGAAAATTTGCATTATTTTACAAACGATCGATGCCAATCCTCTTATCCTCTATCCAATATAATTTTTCCCTTTTTTTTGATAAATTGTTATTGGTTTAGGCTTAGGCTTAAATTAAATACGATATTGAAATGACGTGTGGTAATGTGTTGTGCAGTAAAAGCATGTGCGATCACCTTCCTTTCATAGAAATTGAGCAAAGGCGAGATGATGATGATGATGCATTGCGGCTCGTAATCAATAGGGAGAAGGGAAGAGAAAATTGAATCTTTGAGAGAGGCCGACAACAAAGACCAAAAATTACAACTTCGCTTATTCAAATTGAAATATTGAGTTTATCTTTGCTTTAATGCCTTACACGATAAAATATAATGAGCAGTGTAGGCGAAATAAGTTTATTGCTATGCGCAATTAGCCTTTTGGGCAAAAACGAATTGCCAAACTTATTTGATCAGTACAAGATAGTTAATCGGGAAAAGTTAAAAGCAAAATACGGTGAACTGATTTCTCATACATATGGTTAAAGAAGGCTTTATTCGTTCTAACTATCATGGCATTCAATTCTTTTATTTTCAAAACTTTCCAACTTGTTAATTTCTTCATTCTTTCAACTGTTATTCGAACTGTTATTTTTCCTTTCACAATGAAAGGACAGCATTTCAAAAGGCTAATGGAAAAGAGATGGACAAAAAAGATTTCCTCCAGGTTAGTTTTTAATTATATTGCTCGTTCTCATTCCTTCAACATTTCTCAAATTCTGTGTTTTAATTTTCAATTTTTTATACGGGTTTTTCGCAGAATTCAAAAAAGATAATTGCACGTCAGACATGAACTTATAGATAAAGAATTAAAGAATCAGTCAACAGATCATGGCTTTGAATGCAATCATAAATTAGATTATCAACTGTTCATAAATAGAGCATCTTAAGCGAATTAATCGAAAATGCTAATTAGCGAACTTGGTTTCTGTATGAACTTGCAATGGAAAAACTTTCTGCTTGCAAACTTCAGAACCAAAATTCTTTAACTGAATGAAAAAGACCAACTGCCAATATAAAAAATTGAAAATGTATCCTAACTTAAGAGGAATTTTGAATATTTTGAGATGCAATTCTAATTTATGAACATTTAATATAGAAAGTTTTCATCCCTTTAGCTGCTTTTCCCATTTCGAAAACAATTGCGCATTACTTACCTTATTTTCTCCACTTTGTCCACGTCTAACACCCCCAGTACTCTCACCACTTTTTTTAAATATTTTAATTTTCTTCAGTATATTCATTTGATCCGATTTTCCTTTAAATAGCATAATAATTCAATTCAGATATGTTAAACACTCGAGAATTAAAATTTTAGCATTCATACTACTTTTTCCGGTCAAAAAATTTTGATCGAAAGAAAAAAAGCATCAAATTTTAACTTTTAAAAATACAATTCCTGAGATAGATAATATTAACAAAATCTCATGAAGTACTTTTAAGAAATAAAGAATGCAACCGTCCTTCGTACTGCACCAATCTAGAAAATGACAAATATGCTTACGAACTGTTTATATGATTCACTACAGCGCAGCCGCAGCGAGTCACAATTACTAGTTCAAACACCGAAGCTTTGAAAATTTTTCAATCAATAGTGCCGCGGCATCCCATCTCTCAATTATAATTTTCGTGGGATAATGGGCTGTTAAAATATCAAAATATAACCGTGAAAATATCATATCGAGAACTGCAAAGCATATTTTATGTTTGAAAATAGATCCAACGAGTGAATTTCCACATTTTGCACACATCAACCTCCGGTTTTATTATCATGGGTGATAAATACTTCTAAATAGTATACAACCAACTTTTATAATGCAAAAATTCAAGTAATGAAGCTTCATACTTTAATAACAGGATTGTAGTGATAATGAATCAAATGACATAAACAGATAAATATGACAAAAAACTAGAATGGTGTATGTGAACAATTCACATGTCCCACAGAGGAACAATTCAAATTTCGAAACAAAATAAGCCATTAACTGACTTGAAAAATGTTTATCGAAACACTACATTCTCATAACTAAATAGACTACCACTAATTTCAAAACAATGACATTTGAGTTTTAGGAGGAACATCGTTTTATTAAGAGCATAAACAAGATTTAATTAACCGCTATATCGCTTTGAAAAGTCAATCTGTCTTTTTAAACATACACTCGTACTTACTATCAAATATGGACACACCATTTTATAAAACCCAGCAGTCCTCAAATTCAACTTCCAGTCTTTCCTAGATTACAGTTGCAGTATGACCGTTCATCAAGAATTTTCTTGAAAGCAATAAAATAAATGTTCAAGATGTTCTACCGAGTCGAATATTTTAGTAAAGCGAAGTTTAAAAGGAAAAGAAAGATCCTAGGAAACTGTAAAGCTGATTAAAGGACCCTTTTAAGCAATAATTCGAAAAAAGAAAAAGTTGACCACCACCAAGATGCCTGAATACCATCAAAACAAAACCATTTTTGCTAAAATAAAAAACTTTAAAATGATTAAACGGACAGAAGACAGAAGTCATTAAGCACACACACACGTACACACACACAACTCGCAGGCACTCACATACACATACACCAATAGAGATATAATGTGCAAAATACGGCAGGAGAGAATGGATTAAATGAAAGAAGCCGAGTTTTAAGAAAAATAAAAATTCTGAAATTAGTTTAAAAAGATAACAAACGTATGTTATATGCATAAAAAGAAAATACTTGAAAACAAACTTCTCTACGGAAACAGTTCTCCTCCATAAGAGTTAGAAATGCAAATTTTTATATTTCCATCTTTCATTCTTTATGAACTCATTTTCTTTTGCAAGCAACCTCCTCTCGAGTCACTCAGGAAATCTAGAAAGACATTATTTCTGTCCCTAAATTGCAACATCACCGGAAATTTCTAGTCAATCACTATAAAATTTATGGAGCAATTAACACGACCGTATCTTGCAGATGCCACGTACGACATTTCTGAAAGGTTCATGATGTGATCATTAAACCTCTCCTATATTCCAGCGACTATTAAGCCGTCAATTGCAAACAGAGTAATAGAAAGGTATAGAGGTGATACTATAATACAGGACATGTTGATATACAACGGAAAAGCGAATATTTGAAAAAACGATATTTACGACTGATAATACAAACATTCTACTCAGCTGACACAATAACTGCGTGATGCAATAGGTAATAACAAATACAAAATAATGAAAATTTCCATATTTTCAATATAAGATGAATATATATTTTCGAAGTTATGACAGAAAAAAGTTGAAGATAACGGCAGTCTTGAAACTGTGCCGAAATCATATAAACCATAAGACATATGGAAACCAATTTTGTTATCAGAGATCTCGAAAATGTTATATTGAGAGACGCAGTGCAAGATTTTTTATATATTCAGTGCAAAGTGCCAACAGTCATCGTTAACAGTAATAGAAAAAGCTATGCACCGGTAGCATAAGTGAACCAGAGAACATCGCAATTGCGGTGGCCAAAGGAAAGAAAATCATTTGTTGCATGCGACAATTTCAAAGCAAAAAATTTTTCGACTCTGTGTTCAGATGAATAGAAGAAATTCCAAAATTTAAAAGTTTTAACCGGACAGACTACCACAAAGCGCTACGGCAAGTACCATAGGAAGGATGCAGTAGTTCAAAGATAAATAAAATATCAAAAAAAAAAAGCAAAAGAGCGCATCAAACACTGCAAACATAGGAACTTGAAAACTTCAATTGCAAAAATAGTACTAATATAAAAAAAGGGCCGGTGCAGATGAGCCTATTATTCATCAGAGAATGGAAAAATAAAACGAATTTAGCAGTAAAATAGTGTGATATAATGTGATTTATTTTCATGTTTTATCCTAGTTCCATATTTTTAAGAAACTATCCCATGAACCGGTGCACACAGCCATTCCGTCTTCTGTAACTCCTAAACAGGACACGCGATTATCGTGACCGGCTAATACACCTAAAATTGGTTTCTATACTGCAAACGGCTAGCAAAATAAAAAACATATATTATATCATTACTCTCTTCAAAACCATCATATGATCGTTATGGATAATTTGGCAGAAGTCCGAACCATCTGTAACTTAACCAGTAAAAAATTAAAGAACCGTTTGATAACTGAAATTAAGAGTTCATTGCAATATGCTTCGCATAGCTATGTCTAATTCAAAAATAGCGAAATTAGAAGCAAGCTACATCGGACAATCAGATGGTCTAGATCAACTCGTCTTCTACAGAAATTTCTACAGAAATACACTCCACTTCACGTCTGTTTAACCTATATATGATATATTGGAAAAAATGAAAGCTAATCCACTAATCTAAAAAATCTTATAGCCTTTCCTATTGACCTTTATTAAACAAAAGAAACGAAAAATCTGCGTTGAGGTAAAGACATATTTCATACATAAATATAAGCAATGTATAAAAAATTTTGAGTTAACACTTGATTTTATTCATGAAGAATAATTGTTATTCATAAATATTACGATGACGAGAAATATATATAATAAAACTCTTTGAATAATTTAAAATATACGTACCAGCTCTTTCCTGTCGCATTGAATCCCATACATTGCAATTAAAATCATCATAACCTGCGAATAATAATCGGCCGGATTTTGAAAATGCTACACTGGTAATTCCTAAATGAGAGTAATGTAGATCAAGAACTAATAACCTTAAACATCCCATTTGAAAAAGCGTTATTTATCATGTTTAACTCCATTAAAAACTTAAAACTTTTATATAATCATCAGAATAATAAAACTTTGCATGACTGAAGAGGTATAGTTTGGTCCTCAAGAAGCTTTAGTGGGAGAACATAAATGGACCACAAACCTCAAATGAATTTCTAGACCCACATATATGAAATTGTTTCAAGTGAATTTTATTTTAGCAACAATGAAATGGACATGATCCATTCCCGTGATCATTTGTTGGAACTAAACAGCAGAAATATGAACGAAAACATACCACATATAATATTGTCGTGAGAATACATGGCTAATTCTTGATCAGCTCTTATATCAAACAGTCGGCAGGTTGCATCATCTGAGCCAGTAGCAAAAGCATGTCCAGAAGGGAAGTACTAAAAAAGTAAATTAGTGACGAAATGTTAATAGCACCTAAAGTATTGTAATATGAAATGAATCAAAAAAATGCGTCAAAATGGAATTTAAAAACAAATTCGACAGCTTTGTATAATTATCAACATAAATTAAAAATAAAAAATAGTAATTATTGGAAAAAATACTGTTGTTTAATCTCCTAAAAGAAAGCTCAGTTTTCTTGTTCTTATTGAAAAAAGTTAAAAGATATTTGCTCTGAATAAAATCACACTAAATTTATAAACTCACGGCAACAGCATTGATATCACTTTCGTGTCCAGGGAACGTCTGCTTGCACATTCCATCACGGATATCCCAAAGTTTAGCGGATGCATCGCACGCACCTGATATGAAGGTACGCATATCAGGGGATAGAGACAGTGACATCACATCGCCTGTATGTCCTGTGAAAGCGGTCACTTGTTGTCCAGTTTCGATATCCCACAGAGCACTGTAATAAATTTTCCAAATTTTCTGAAATATAGTCATCGAACTGTAAATAAATATAGATTTCATAGCATTATAAAGAACTATAATGTTTTCAAGCTCTGATCTCATGCCCGACTGTTTTACGATGCAAAATGTGATAACATGTGCTTATTTTAAATGTAATAAAGTCTACTACTTGTTTTCTGCAGTTATTCGCACTGCATATCCTCTTGTTAGAAATCTGTGAATATAATATTCAACTATTTATTGAATGATTAATAGAAGTCATCTTGAAAACTAATTCATATTCAATAATTTCGAATTTTTATAGCAAGAAAAGTTCATTTTAGTACGTCATTCATAAAATTAAGTAATTTCAATCACGCTTTTTTTTAAGTCGGTACACATTGCTGCAAAAATTTCAGTAAGAAATTATTTATGCACTATAGCTAAGAACTTAGATATGCATCACACCGAACTTATAAATGAAGCACTACGACAGCCTAAATCTTATCGCACCAGAATGTCAAATTACTTAATTTTCTATTTTTTTAAAATTATTTTATGGACCACTAACACATCTATATAGTTACATTTTTAAATGTTTTTATTATGTTCAATTTTAATCGGTGATTTTAATCTCATCAAAATTACCATTAAAATTGCAACCAGTTCTTAAACGTGTTGGCATTTGTGTAAATCGCTACTGGAATTTAAATTCAAAAATAAGATGAAAAAACTTCAGCTGGTACAACCCATCAGGTCTACATATAGATATTTGTTCTGTACTCCCATCCTTTAAACACCTTACACTATCATTATTTCACTATTCCATTTCAAACTACATTTATGAATAGGTAAATATATAATGTATAGTATATACTTGCCAAAATAGACTAACTGAGGGTATAATATATACGGAGTGGTCGGATGACAAGGAAGACAGAGGCTTCAGCGAGAACAGTTACCAGAGAATCTTACTCTTAGCTTTCATCTTTAAAGAAAAAAGCTTTAAACTTTCAACTGAAAATCGATTAGTGAGACCATCAAAGAATGAGTACGTTTAGCCAGGGAGGATTGAAAAGAAGAACTAGCGAACCATATAATAACAATATGCTGAAAGAGCAGCGAAAGGATTGAATATTCTTTTTAAAAACAGAGAACTTTTGCTTAAGCTATGAGATGAGTAACCAAGTTGATGTAGGGGTACTACAAAAGCTTCTTGCTATTACTGATGCACTATTGCTTCGTCGACTGGTCAAAACGCAATTAATCATCAACCACTAGACGCACAACTTAGCTCTCTTCCATCTCTGTTTCCCCTTAAAAAACATAGAGAGAAACCAGCTTTAGCAAACAAAGCTTGCATGTGTATAAATATGTATATATGTGCATATATTTGAGTTCTATCGCTAAATTTGTTAGATTATTGGTGAAGTTCCTGCTATTAGTTTCCAGCCACAAAATGAATCATAAACTGGATACTTTTTCAATAAAGATGACGTCAATCTGGCCACGATGAGTTGTTTGTTTGTTAAAGATACCATAGCAAAAACATTAGTATCTTGAACGCTAAATTCAAGTATTAACTTACATTGGCGAAGGATAAAATGCGCCTACTTCTAAATTAAAAACAATTAATTTGAAAAGTGAATATGATTAATTTACCAATGACTAGCACATCCTTACAATTATCATTTATTATTAATATATTATACTACTACTAAACACGCTTCTCTCAACTTCTTCAAGCATCATATTCGTACATATCAATTTGACAATTTTTCAAGCACAACCGTATTATGAAATAATGCGTGGATTAAATAACTGCAGATGAAAAAGACAAGAAAGATATGTGAAGAAAGGAGACATAATGGCAACCAAATGTTTGCTGAGCACTGTTCCTTAAAACATTAACTAATTTCGAACCTATATGAATGCCAGCAATCTTGAAAGCAAGCTATTCAATTTAGAGATGGATAACTAATACAAAGTACTGCAAACGAATTTAAAATCTGCACAATAATTTGTGCTAAGAATTTTTAAAGAAATTTAACTGTAAATTAAAAAAAACGTAAAATAGATATGCATTTATAAATCATTCTAGAAAAAATCTCAGGGATTTTTGCAAAAGATAACCACCCATCCCAAACTCTGAGCTTATAAGTCTCAGGCTGTAACAATTCAAAATTGACATTACACAGTAAGTATGTTTATGCTTTAAATCTTTTTAATTAAAAAGAGGAGATAACTTACCATGTCATATCTCCACTAGAGGTAACAATCTGATTGTCGTCGAGGAACCTACAGCATGAAAGATAACCCGTATGACCTGGCAATTCACGCGAAACACGTACGTTACCCTCGCGTGTTTTTAGTGAGTAAATGCTACAAATATTATCAAGACCACCACAAGCAACATAAGAACCAGATGGCGCATACGCACATGTCATCACCCATGACGATCGTAACGGGATTGCATGAACCTGAAATAAGACAAACTTAGAAAATTCAGGATTGATTTAAATGAGTAAGCAGGAATGCAATGACCCCTTAGATGCAGTGATATTGGAACCAAAAAAATACTTCTGTGGAATGGTCTTGCAGTGCAAATATCTTACAACTGTTAATCATAAATTCATCTCTCTTTATCTTTTTCGAATAAACAGCCAATTTGTCAACAGCAATAATCTCAGGAAAGATTTCCTTCTATATATGCCAACTTAAATAGTTAAGCAGTTGAATGATTCATTCAACTGCTTAACTATTTAAGTTGGCATATAAAAATGACATAGAAGATTCTACTTAGCTGCGTGGTACTATCTTGCCACGCAAATGAATAGAATTTTTTAACTTATAATGTACGCTTTTTACCATGTATGATTGATATATGAAGCACTAGTGCAATGGTATATAATTCAACTTTTTCAAGTGTTTGACTAGTTGATAAAGTTGAAAATGAATGCAGTTATTTATGCTTTTGGAAACAACTACTATAAACAGGTATATTGGAAAAAGTAGTTCAATGAGTCTTACACTGTTTCAAGGTGCTGATTATTCCACCTCATTATTTTTTGCTCTCCTATGAAGAGAATATTCGCGCACGTTGCATCATTTAATACATTCTTGCCAAACTGTGATGGAATAATACTTTGAAGATAAGAGCAGGTAAGCAGATTATCAACTGAACTAATATGTGTGCTCGTTACCAGGCAACACCAGCGCAGGTTATGCTTTACTAAATGCCTCAGAATAGCTAGCTCAAGTTATTCGAGACAAATGCTTGCTAATTCACGGTTAAAGAATTAAGTAATTGCAGAGATAAAAATACATTTGCAATGGCTTATAGAGATACATCCATTTTGAATTAAGCTCCTTTGCTATCTATCCTAGTTGTAGTTAGATGGCTGATGAGAAACACATGGAAACATTAAAAAAATTCTATCAGATAATAAGCAACCGAAAGTTTATGAGCACAAGCACAGACTAATCAACAAATTTTCCCAATCAAATTTGAATTCAATATTTCATAGTGTTGAGAAAATGTAGTCTACTGGTCTACAATATTTCCAATAGCCACAGATAGTAATCATGTTGTTACAAAAAAGGTGATTCTCGAGGCATCATCTGTAATCAATATCTTCTAAGACCATCAAAATTCACCGCATGCTAGCTAGCAAGCATACAGTGGATTTTGATGGTCTAAATCTTCGTCTCCAAGATTGTCAGTGATGACACTAGAAACTAATAGATCAAGTAATCATTCTTTTGCTGCTTCAATCGTGCTACGCATCGTCCTATATAAGTTCATGAACGTGCATATATCTACGTTCTTTAGCAGTTGACTAATAAAAATGTAGCAAATAAATATAAACGTTAACAAATTCATAATGATAATCACAAATTTCATACCTAACATCACCAATCTATAACTGTTTCGCATGAAGCACTAACGATATCCCTTGGTGCTCAAATTGCTCAAATTCAATATCATTAAAAAAGAATTTGTGGAACTTTTCGTTAATATCAATAGTATCATTTATAATGAACTGATGCTTTTAATTTCATTTAAGTTTACGATGTTAAAAAAGCCTCATTCTCATGTCTATAATCCTTGTACCGTTTAATTGCTCAAAATATGCTTAATTTCATTTAAGTTTACGATGTTAAAAAAGCCTCATTCTCATGTCTATAATCCTTGTACCGTTTAATTGCTCAAAATATACCAACATCAAGCTTTAACCAATTATCTATATTTGTATATCTATAAATTAATCATGAAATTCAATGCACTGTTTTACTTAGCAGTATTAAAAAGAAGGCTTCAAGAACTCGGTTTCTATAACCAAGCTATCAATAATGCGCATCATCATTGCGATTATAACACTTCTTCGCAGATCACAATATCCCAAAAAGGTGGTAATTCTGTCAACTCAGACAATGATTATCGAAACGGGAAGGAAATGCAGTCTTACAATAGAACCATAAGCGCACATAAAAAAGTGATAATAATAGCAAACCGTTTATCATCAATATACACTGGATTCCAATCAAAAATTTTCTCTCATTAATGAATATATTTTAGAATAGCTAAGAACATCAGTAAAAGAATGACAGTACTTTACCACTAAAATAGTCCTTTATATTCCATCAACAAATAAAATAAATGATTGAGTTTAAATCATGATACGCACTACAGGAACTGTACTCTTTTAAAGTGTTCTAGAAACTAATTTACCTTGTTTGTAGTATAAGAATCCCAAACTATTAATTTGCCATCTTGTGAAGCGGAAACAAGATTTCGAGAATCAGAGGCCCAATGCATTGCATAAATTTTGGCCAAATGTCCTCGCAATGTTCGCCGCGTACGCATCTGGATCCGACCAATTGGTTCCAGATTGGCGGCCACAGAAGCCAACGTCGTGTCACTGGCAGCTTTGCGAGCTTCCTGCAAATGAATCGAACTGTCAAACATACCATTTACATATTATTATTCATCATATTAGTTTTCATATTTTTTCCTTTTAAAAACGGCTCGAAGTAAAGTTGCCTGCATCTTGAATAAACAACCAAATTACAATGATTCACTACTTTAGAAATTTTTGATACTGCACAACGAGAAGCAAAATCGACTCATATAAAAAAAACGTTTTTAAACCCCTCATCATAGCAGTCATATCTTTTGAAAAAACTATCAAAATGAGCAGAGATTTTCTTTAATTACATTACTTCTTATTCTGAAAAGCAGATTTTATCCAAATGATTACTATGTAATCACTTTAGCAATTCGATAGAAGTACCAGAACTACTTCAGAAAAACTATTCCCTATCATACTTTACAAAAACTATGCTAAAAAAGCCAGTGAATAAATATAGGCATCATAACTGCTTGCGAAAAATAAAAATAGCAATAAATGCACTTACTTTTTTTTCCGCTAATTTTCGAAAAAGAAAAAAAAATTATTTTTTCCCTAATTTTCGAAACAAATATAAGTCACCATTTCAATTACCTCAGTAAAGATGATCTTACATTAAAAAAAAAAACAGTGGTTCCCGCATCATGCATCTAAAAATCGAATAACAGAAAATACTTAACTTGAAAAAAGACTGAATCAGATTTACTTTTGCCCAGACATTAATCTACACATTATTTCAAAACGATTCATTAAGCGAATGAGTCTCCTAATCATTAGTTACTGCGAAATTCTATATGAATGAGTTTCAACATGTGAGCAAACTTTCAGTATATGATGAGATCGGGTATACGAACACCAAGCAATATAACAATCGTGCAGAACTAGCTGGAAAGACTTTAAATAACGATACAATTGGTACACTATATAGTATAAAATATGAAGCATACCCTGATTTGACTTTTGAGCTGTTCGGCTTCTTGCCTGAGCTGATCCAATTCGCTCATACCGAACCGTCTTCTCTATTTCGTTCCTTCTTCAATGTTTTTCTCGCCTTCCGTTATTTATGATCAGTTTTTGGTGCTGTATAAATGTATCGATAAAATGACGGTACACTGTGCTGCTTTTGTGATGAAAAATGGCTGTTATTGCAGTTGTCTTATACCCAATGAGAATAAACAATAAATACGATGAATAATCAATGATAATATATGCCTCAGTTCTTTTTAGTTTCTATGGAACAAACAGTAAACAGGTATGAAACACAGAGAGCAAAAAAGCAGTCGAGATGGTCAAAAATAAGTTTATAAGAGTGATTGTAACAACAGCAGCAGCGGTAACAGTAATATTACTCCCACTGTTGGCGATATTTTGTTTATCTGCAATTATTCATTATGAGATTAAGTATATGCGGGAAATGTCTAAAACAATAGCCCGTTAATTCTGAATGATCATTTTTTGAATGACCGATGAAAACATGACCACTTCTGAAAATATGGAAGAGACTACTGGAGAGATAGTGCTGTACATACATACAATTTGGAAGAGAATTATAAAAACTCGGTAAAAAAGATTCCAATAATCCCTGCAGCAACACCAATGCACCAAAAACCACCGCGGGAACCTCAGAAGAGGTACCACTGTCATTGCACTCTTCGCGGATAGCCCATCGGTTGCCATAGTTGTTGCAGTCGGCAGCAGCAGCACGCATACATGTGGCACTTGCGGTTGATGTTATCTACTTACATTACGCACACATACATACACATACACACACAGACACAGCCAGACAGACAGACACATAGCACAGATGCATGCAGGCAAATGCAGCAAAATCGAAATGCATAGAGAAAGAGTAGTGTGTAGCAGTAGTGCCTGCATATATGCATGCATGCACGCATTGTAAGGAGAGAGAGAGGGGGAGAGAGGCTGAGCGCATCTGCCGATGGGTTCAGCATCTGTCGGTAGGTGAGAGGTATAGGTTGTATTTCGGAACAACCTGGTTGTTCACCCTGCCTAACAGATAGCGAACTGCACAATTGCAGGAATGCTTCCTACCAGCAGGAGAATGTCCGTTGAAAAGACGCATCTGCGGGACACACACACACAACCGACCCGAGTTCGTTGATCTGCATGGCACATGGCTTGCTTCCGTGATTGGAGGAGAGAATCTGCTAGTAGGCCAGCATGCAAACAGAGGTTCGAGCAGATCTGATGATGCATTCGGAACAATTGCTGGATCTACTATCCCCAGGGTCTCTTCCTCCATGGCCATCACCTCTTTGTCATGGGCCTCAGTCTCATTCTGCCAGTTCCATCGAGGTCTCTCTTCCCTTTGTGCTATATTCAGTAGCTCTAAACTGCTTCTTGTGTATGTGCCCTTGCGGGTCTTGTTGAATTAAATGTTGTTATCGATGCGATGCACACACATACATACATTACATTACATTCTACGAACCTAATACTCCAGGCCCTGTATAGGCCTCCTTTTCGGAGGCACTTCTGAGGGTAGTGCCTAACAACACACACACACATTCATCTATCCTATCCTGTTTAGGCCTTTCGGTTATTGCTACCACCCCTTACTGCTACTGCAGCTTTCTCCAGAGCATATGAACAATGCTGCAGCTCCGAATGAGAGAGGAGGGAAGAGATGAAGGAACTAATTCATCTAGGCCCACACAGGGAAAGGGGACAGGGACGTGTGATCGAGCACATTACTACCAGCAACAGAAGCAGCAGTAGCAGTAGTAGTAGCCCAAAGCCTAAACCCTTTCGGGTCTAATCTATACATCCACAAAAAAACTCCATTTCATCCCTCTCCTTGTAACTCTCTTTAATTAAGGATTTTAGTGAACACTTCTCTCTTCTGTAACAATCCTTCTATTGCAGTAACATCTTCATAAGTACACATTCCAGATGAGTCACTCATTCCTGTGAATTCCTCATTTCTTTTCCCCTTCTGAAGCTAACTTTCTTCCGGAATGGTCCATTTCAAATTCATTTCATCAGTAACATAACATCACCGCACATGCATATTTCAGCAGCAATCCGATAAGTGATTGATCTTTCAGGTAAGAGTCGTAGAGAGGAAAGAAAGAAATTGTTTCACTTGATTGAGATCAAACGATTTTAGAAAATTTCTTACATTTTACATATAGCAGCAGAGAGAGAGAGAGATATTGCAAAGTATACTAATACTGCTATCATTCAATCAAGAGGAATATTGATTCAACAACAGCTGGGACGATTCGAGTTAGCCAGTTTGTCATTGAAAAGAACAGCACTACATGTAATAGATTTAAAACTGAACTTTGCATAGATTCCATTTTCCATCTTCTTTCTCAGTATGATACACTGTATAAGTATAAGAAAAAGAAAGTGCTATTACTAGAAGACCTGAACTTCGTCATCTTCCTCAATAATTGAATAGGTAACTTTAATATTGAGAAGTTGAAATCGATCTTGCTAAGTGATTTAGGATTATGTCTTAACGGACTTTCTCCATGAATTTTGGAAAAAAGCAATGAAAATTAGAGAATGAAATTACCTCCTTGGTAGCAAAGAATTTAGTGACAAATTCATTTTTGAATAGGAATGTGACAGTAGTAGACAAGATAAATGATTGCAACTTAGTGCTTCAAGCAGAACTATTAATAGTGCCTTTCACGTCACAGCATTTTATAAATTCATGTCAGATATAACACTTCTTTAACTAAATCCGATAAACCATGGAAGGGAAGGGGAAGTTTAATTATTCCCCTTCCGTCGTTATTGTCTGATGTTAAAACAGCGAAACATTCGCAAGCTTACATAAAATTCCTACAGCATCTTCAAAACCTAATCATTCTCGTAAGAAATCGTTGAATATGCAGATGTGCTGAAGATTGTTAATAAATTCAAACAAATTTGAATATTTTTCTTGAAAAAATGAGAAATTAAACAAAAAAGAAGATAAGTAGAAAGGAAAAAATGAAAATATCAAACAATTATAAAACGAAGAGATTATAAGAAAAAAAAGTTTTGAACAGCCAAAGACAAAACAAGCTGCTGAGCTGTTTCGTTTGTATCTACAATAATAACAAAACTCATTTTCTGTTTCTCTACTTTTAGAATTAAAGGAAACTCTTATCAACCACTCTTCAAAACGAAAGAGAGATGTAGCATTGGAAATCAATTTGCAGGACAGAATTTATTACGAACAACTTGTGGTCTGCCGTACTTTAATCATGATCATTTTAAACCTATTTTGAAATTATGCATAAAGACCTCATTATAAAAAAAATATTTGATTCAGATGCAGTTTACTATTTTGCAAAGTTTCATTTGAAATCAAATGGCACTGCCATTTGCCATAACATAGCTAATATACTTTTGTTGTGGTTTATGCTTAAAATCTAATTTTATGGTTCAAACAACTAACTCCTCATTAATAATAAACTTTGCGATACTAGTAACTGTACCCCGTTATAAACATGGTGTGGAACAAGATTTGTAGGATTAAAACCTCAAGATACAATGCTTCAACACCGGATATTTAATTACTTCGAGTAAGGTGATTCCATGTCAAAATTAACGCTGAATAAATTCATTTGGATTATTCAGCATTCAATTTTGAAAGACATTATCTTGGTGCACATCAAGATCTCACATCACTTCATTCAAATCTTTAACTTCCTGCGATGATCTCTAAAGAACCAAAAATGATGAAGTACTACCATGATCCCGTAGGAGTCCACTGAAGCACCAACGCTTAGCTATTAATATGTCACGAAATGTTTCATGACAAATACTCATATGACGCAGCCCCAAAATTTATTTCAAACAAGCTATAAAATAAATGAACCCGAAAGCTTCCTTGCATACATTTAAAACTATTCGAAAAGCAGAAAAGAAATGAATATATCAAGTCAAAAATGATAAAATTACATACAAAAATTAAACAATGTGGACTCTACGGATAAAATGACGGATAATCAATTAATCTAAAATGAGCATAACATTTGATAATATAACCTGAGTTACATACGCACACTCTTTCTTCTCTACACAAATACAGAGCACCGGATTGGAGACAGTACTAAGGTAACAATCAACGGTATAGTTTTGAATTTTATGGAAGTGTCACTGTTTTTGCTTTCTAATATGCTCAAAAGCAGCACCAATGAAGCTTAATTTAAGCTAATAAAATTTCTGTTAGGCGAGATTTTTAGTTGTCACTGCAGTATGTTGTATACCTTGCAAATCAAAAGAAGTACAGAAAGAATTTTCTCTAAAGAATTATATCTATGAAAACTTTTGTCACACTTCCAAGCATAAACAACACTTCACATGCAAAACACTCGAAATATACCAATAAACCATCAAAACGGTCGCCAAACTTTTACATCCTTCCTTGTTTCTACCTCCTCCAGTCCATTAATTTTGTCCTTGTTTTCACTCCCTGTTGCCGATTCTGAATGCCGAGAACAGTTCTCCCGAAGATTATCACAGAATCCAGATAAAGTGGGTTGCGCACCAACAACAGCAACAGATCGCGGTACCAAATCTTTCGAAATAGAAAGAATATTTGATTGTGAAGGTGTAGAAATCGTTGTAGGTAACATAGGAGCACGATAAAGTTCAGAAATATTAGGCTGTGCAACGCAAGGAGTGCGCAGATAAGGCAAATTTGGTAAGTAATTTGTAGCTAAGTAACGGCCAGCTAATGACGATCGTGCCTGGAAATTTGTTGGGAGATATGACGCTACTGAATGAGAAGGAATCGGTGCTGAATCTTCACCTGATCCGCTCACATGACTTGACATCACCGATTGAAGATGTCGTATAAGTCCAATTCTGAATTGCTGTGCTTGAGGCGCAAATTCACTAGGAGGTAGAATATTCTGCAGATAAGTCAAACAAGCTGAAGCAGCTACGGTGAAACCTTCCGCATAAGATTGTTGATAAATTGCATTGTTGTCTGAAATTACGATCTGGCTTTTTTCTTAAAAATCTGTTCTCTCCAAAAATTATTTTGATACTCAGAACCGGGTGCACTAATGGTATCATCCTAAGTAGAAAGAATATGAATGTTCCATTAACGATTCAAATTAGCCCAACTTTGGTAATCAACAAACTTATGAACTAACTACTTGGGATATTTTCCGACATGAATCATATTTAATTCATTGTTTTAGAAACATATTTCTCCCATATGATTGCATTCACTGTCCACTCAGAAGCATAAGGATAAGCTGAAGAACCTACCGAATGATGTAGAGGGTGAGGGTGGATGCTGCATCTGATTGAGATAAGCAACCGTCATTTCCAAGATATCTGCTTTTTCCAACTTGGTACGGTGATTCGGTGAAATGTGTAGCAGGAGATGTTTCAACTGATCCAAACATTCGTTCATACGGGCCCGACGACGTTTCTCCATCAAAGGCTTTTTCAGCTACAATATTTTTCTTTCATCTTAAATTCCAGTCTTTCTTCTCTATTCCTCCTCTCTTGTCATGTGTCATGTAAAATATTTCCTATCTTTATAATAAATGTTCATTTCAAGAAACTTTCATGCTTTGAAAGACTCAAAAATCACCATCAACAAACCTTTCTCTCCAGTGGATATTGTGGTGGACTGGGTGACGCATAAGGTGATGCCATCATTTTTGCCAGAAAATGCGGCGTCATAAATTAATTCATTCAAAAAAAAGTCCCAAGTATTGGAGTCACCAAATCTGCATGAAGAGTAGTTAGCTGTGTAAATAAAAGAAAATTTTAGAAAATTCGTTATTTCAAGGAAAGTTACACATTAGGAATGGGAAGTGATACACTGTAGTCTGCTTCTAAAATTTCTCGAGATGAGCAAGAATGTAATAGTACAATAGAGGCTAAGTTACTGAAATTTGTCACCAAGCCAAGTTAATTACTGATAAGTTCCCAAAGTCATTCTTGTAAAAGCACAGTTAATGATTATTTCAAAAGTCATCATCTCATCAATGGCAAACTTCAGCTTAAGATTTTGAGCATTAAATGTAAAGAGAAAAATTAGGTAAAACAAACAGATTCAGATAATACAAAAAACCTGATCAGATGAAATATTATCGGAGCAACGAAAAGATGAGCTCTCCTATGCTGACTATATTACACAAAATAATGAAGACCGGGAGATGCTTTGTAGTCCAATAATCTAATTCTAATCAAGAAATCCGTTGTTGCGGAAAAAGATTCGGAATTAAATAATAAAGGAAGATAATACGACAAAGGCTGACACGAACATTTGAATCTAACTGATTCAAACGTTCAATCAGCCTTTGTCATATCCAAATGCTCCATCATATCTTGGCTAACTTTCGACTAATAAATCTATCATGAACGAATTCGTCTTAGCAGAATCGACAGCTAATCTAAAGAGGAGTTTATTTATAAACATTATGACGCTGAACAGACCATAGTTAATAAAATACTCGAAAATGAAGAAGGAATTCTGGTTAGACATACCTGTAGTTTGCTAATAACAAGCATCAATTACAGTAACCACTCTCGGACAAAACAGAAGTAAACAAAACGATGCGATGTTACAAAGTTGGAAATGAACGGTGAGCGGAGGCGGGGTTTTTCGTATCGTCAAAAAGGAGGAATTGTCGACAAGTGCGAGGAAGGAAGACTTTTCTCACAGGCGGTGAATGAATGAAGGACTATAATTATATGGGAAGTGGACGATGTCCATCGGACAATTGTCAATGCATGTTTAGTAAAGAAGCGTGGGAGAAGCAATGAGTCTTGTGAAGGCTTGTTACATACTGCCTAACAGTTAAGTCTGTCGTTATCTCAAGTTGAGATTGAAGAAATGCCCTCTTTAATATCACATGACCTGCAGTTAATGTCATGAAACAATGTTTTCATAAATCTTTATGATATATTGTAGGATTTCTATCTGCTGCAGCTAACATTTCTGACAAGTAAAATGAAAATTATCACTTCAACACACTGAATTTTGAAGTGATATTTCCGTTCTGCAGAAAGAGATTATCGAGAAATTTCTGGAAACACAAGATTTCTTGTGTAATTCTTGAAATTAGTGTTTCATTCTAGGTATTAGACAGGAAAGATTTTCTCTGGTTACTTGCACTCTTCAGAACAATCATTTGTATATGTATATATATATACCCATAATAACATGCACATAATAGAAAACATAGGCTGCTACTGCTCATCAAATGGTCAAATGGTGGTCATCAACGCTTCTGATGGTACTCTAATGGTTTCAAGTATACAAACATTAAGCAAACAAAAAAGATAAATGAACAAATATGGATATAATGCAGAAAATAAATAAATGGAAAGAAGAAAGATATGGATAGTGCATTTTGCAGTGACAGTTTTTAAAATGTATGAACGAGCAGGGGACAGCAATTTCTCAAAGTGAAATGTCAGTTCCCATGATTAGCATGGCGGATAATACGATTAAAATTAGATGGAAGAGGGAGCAGCACAGCAACAGCTCTTTCATTGCAGCACCGACACCGACACGATATCCTCCCACGACAACGCAATCAACGCGTGCTCATCATATCTCCTGTAATTTACCACACACTGATTATCTCATGAGAATTCTTACAGGAATCGCTTCCGGAGTAAATTGGCAGAGGTGCAGAATACTGATCACTCCAACACAATTGATTTAAGTTAACTTCTTCAGAATTTCAACTTTATCATGATTTGCAACTAGCACTTCTGATTTAAGGAATCACGAACTCTTCCAAGAATCTGAATAAAACTTAAGTTTGAATAAATGAATGAATTCTAAGTAAAAGGAGAATAATTTATATTTTAAGTAGCCTGGAATAGATTAGTCGAGTATATCTATTCCACAAAACAATATGAAAGACTTCCATGTAGGTTTGATGACAACACACCAAATATAAACGATAGTCATTCATACCGCCTATGGGAATAATTGAGTGGCTGAGGATGAGTTAATGAATTATAAACAATTCTAGCAAGCAGCTCATGAAACTATTGTTTCTCTTGTCTTCCAGTTAGCTGTTAGAAAATGAAATTCAATAATGCGACATTAATGCTAATTTTGAATTACAACACCTAAAATGAATTCAATCCAGTAAATGAGGATATCAAATTCATTGAGAGTTTGTAGGAACAATGCCACTGATCTGTTGCCTTCCTTTCCCTTACCACTGCCGAAAAGTGGTCTGTGAAATGGTTGTGGGGAATAGAACGGACCATAAGGTTTTTTATCAGAAGCTACTCTCAATTTTCCCATCGTTGCGAATTAGTGGCGATCGTTTGTTATGTTAATGCCAACTATTTGTAGCCACCTGGTTTGTGCCCGTGATTCGATAGGTATCATTGGATGGACCAGCGATCAGGACAATGGACGGCACCATTTACAGTTATAATGGATGAGAGGAAGGCGGAACTCTCCATCCAGTAATAGCTATGGGAATTTCCACCCAACCATCCAACAATTCAATTCACTTCTTCCTGCTCTTTTCCATCTTTCATAGTCTTTAAGGGAGAAAAAAAAGTTTACGGTTCTTATCATTTATCAGGAACTTGCCCATTCATACAGCTCACTTATTTTTACCCATGGGGACTTAGCTATTTCTGTTTTAGCGGCATTATTGACAGAGAGGAGGAAGATTAAAAGATCGCTAACTACATATGATAATTAGATGAGCTGAACTTGAAACAGCAGCACGGTACGGTAGAAATGATGAGGATTGAGGGTTTTCGGAATGAGAAAGTTCGATAGGAGAAGAACTAAGTGGATGCCTTCTTCTGGACTGTCTTTCCCACAGCCTGTTTTTTCTTCCTCTTATTTTGCTTTGAACCATTGTTTGCAATGTATTGCTCAACTGAGCATAATGGCACCGAACGGAAGGGCCACGGGGCAGTCCCTCCTCTCCTCACTTTTCATCTCATCTACAACAACAATAAATCTGAAAAAGCGTGGGAACCACAGCATTATGCTTCCTTCCACTTTTTGCAAATACCGCGCTTCCTTCGCCTCACACAAAATCCCTGCACACTGCGATCATACTTCACACCATTTCAGGCGAACTTTTTGCATCACATGAAATCGTCTCTGGGAAAACAACAATTATCATCCATTCGATGATCTCTCATCACTTGTGCACCTTTCCAAAACTAATATGCAATGCCTTCCATTACAGTGATAAGATGTAATTAGTGAAGATGGAAGGTTAAGGGTTAAACAGTAGATCATCTCTGCTTACCACTTTGCACCAAGGAACTTGCACACAGACACACATCATCTACACAAATACAAATCCATTAGAAATATATTCCATTTAGGTAACAGTGCACACATTCCATGCATATAAATTATGCACGCTTCATCGGGTATCAATTGAGAAGACACATTTGTTGCTAGTAAGGTGCGCCATCAATTGTTCCGGCTGATCGGTCTATAGAACGGACGCATATATACCGACGATCATAAATGGATTCATATTACAAATCACCGTCAACTTTTACTTGTTGCAAAATTTGCGATGGGAAGTATTGAATACCAGGGATTAGATTATTTACTACTTAAATACATTTGATCATTACATCCCTAACATCTGACGTTTTTTCACGGTTTTTTTGTTTGTGAATCAGTAGTGTCTGAAAGCGATATTCGAAAGTCATTCACAGCAAAATAATAAATGCGGAGAGAAGCTTTATCGATAAATCTTAAATCCGGTTTTCAAGCGTGGAATAACTGCTCGAAGATACATGTAAACATCTTCTTCCTCATGTTTTTTAAAATTCAATCTAATCTGAAAAAATACCGAACTTCCTCTTCAAGATATCATTAGCAACAATTAGCTAGCACTTCTTGATATCACAAAAAATGGACAAGAATTACCTAGGGATGCAATTCCTGTTCAAAGAAAATTTTGACATGACAAATTTTGCCGAGATAATAAAAATCTCGCTTGATTCTATAAGTAACAGCAACATCACGGATAAAATAGAGTCAAAGGTTACCATTCACCAGTCCTAATCAAATTTGGCTTGCAAACTACTCAAAGTCCTAAGTAACATCACTAAATGAAATTTTTCAATCGAAAAGTCATGAACTTTGAAATTTTCCAGTGAGGTAATTAATCAATGCAGTAGAATGGTTCCCTTTCTCATACAATACATTACCCCAGTTCAAACGGTTGTGGTATCGGCAAAGTCCTAATCAAGAGAGTCGTACTTGTTCAAACTCTTACCTTCTTTCGCTGTCCATTTTAGTGGTGATTCCATAGATTCAACACTGGAAAAACTATATCGACAGGACATCTGCATTCGCGAATTTTCACGGAATTCTGGTTAACTGGATCTAATACAGTATTTGTCTTGCGCCAAGAAATCAAATTGAAAAGTTAGACAGGGCTTACAATACTTATTTTAAATGCTTCGTTAAATATAAATATTTAACATAAATGTCGTAAGCTAGTTTTTAAAGTTTACGATTCAAATTGTACTTAATTGGTAATTTTAACTTCGTCTTTCTGGCTAACATGTAGAAAAAAAAAGGCCTTAATTAAGTGATAGGAAGTTCTCCATTGAGATATTCTACTTTGAGAGGAGTGAAAGAATTAATTTGTTCCGGCTATTTAAACTATGTAATAGTCGTAGCCAAATTCAGGTTTGATAACTTCCTGTTTGTA